TCTGCTCTTTTTCCTGAACTGTGCATTTTTTGTTTCTTCTGTCTGACGTGTTTATTCACATGGAGAGGTATGAATCTACTACTACCTTAAGTCTGCTTTTTCTTTTTAGAACCACCACCACCTAAAATTCCCAAAATTGAGACCACTCACCCTCCATTGCCTCCAGCCCACCCACCTCCAGGTAAGTGTCTGCTGAAGGCAGCTGGGGAATGCCAGCTTTTCCCTCTGCTCTTCTGAAGGGCAGGCTGGGGAAAGCCGGGGGAAAGCTTATGGGAGGGAGACTTTGTAGGTGAGATTTAAGAAGGTAATCTCCAAGGATCTTTCAAAAATTGTTTTTTAACAAACCAGATATTTTGAGGATGTTGTAAATTCTAGGTATATCTGAGTGTTCTCTGACCTCTCAGATCCAGAAGTGCTGAACTACCCAGGATAAACAAATTTAGAATCAGTTTTAGAAAAACAAGGCCCTGACAGTTTATGAACATTTATCCAGATCTGGGCAGGATTGCCATAGAGCTTAGCCTCCAGTCTCTCTTGCCTCTGCTTCCTGTTGGCAGGCTATCCTCTCAGTGCAGTTTGAAGAATAAGCGGTTACTCACAGAGTCACAGGGAGAATAAATTAGAGAAGGGAAAGTTCTCAGCAGGCACACAGTGACCCGGGAAGCTTCCTGGACATCATTAAGTAGAGGAGAGAGGTTGTAAAGAATATATCATTCTTCCCCTGTGGCAACATTTTGTAAGATAAAGCCTTAAGCTGGAGAAGGCAGGAGTTATGTTTGTTTTCTAAAGGATGGTAGATATTCCAGAGACTTCTCGGAACCTCTGGCGGCGTCACCTCTTTTCAGTCAGCTGCACTGACCACTGGTCGGCGCCTGCAGCTGACCCTTAGGTTCACGGCACGGTGTGCCTGCAGCACGCCTGCTGCCAATGAAGTTTCTTTCTGTTTATACTCAGTCACGGTAGTCTGTAAGCTTGGCGAAAACAGGCATCTTTTCCACTTTGGGACAAATCCCACAATCCCCAGTTCCATGTGAAGTTTGCTTTCAGAGACGCCTGCAGTTGGTCATTGAGTATTTATGGAGCGTCTCCTCGGCAAGCACGAGTGCCCCGCTCCTGTGCCCTGCGGCCCATCACCAGCCAAGGAGAGCTGTGGTGCCCTTGGGGAGCCCAGGCTGGGGAGGGGTGCTTCTTCAGAAGCAGGAGCCCCACGGAGTCGGGGAGCTCCCTCTGAGGGCATCAGGCCGGCCCCTGGAGCCAGCTGGGCTGCTAGAAGGGCTGGAGGTGGTGGGGGGGCAGAGCCTGGCAACCAGGGGGCCTGAGGTGGAAGCAAAGGGGCCGATGGGCCAGGGCGGCAGGGGCTCAGTCCAGAGAGTCCTGTCACTATTTTGTAGATGTCTGGAAGATGGGGAGACAGAAGGAAAGATCAGAGAAGGCGCAGGAGTCCGTGGTGTTGGGGGGAAGAAAGGAGCTAGAACCACAGTTCCTGAGAGGCACGGGCGGCAGAAAGAGGCGTTTAGATCCCCAGGGATGTTTCAGAGGGTGGCGTGCGGTGGTCGGATGTCGGGAGTGAGTGTGGAGAGAGGGAGTGCAGGTGCTGAGGAGAGACCCCTGGTCCCAAGTTCAGTCACAGAGGACAGGACAGAGGCACTGGGGACTTGAGGAGGCAACAGAGTTGCGTGTTACAAGAGGTGATTTCTTGAAGATGGAAGAGCCCCTCTGTGGACTCAGGCAGCAGTGGAGGGACACACAGGAGGAACTCAGGGTGGGGGCACTTTTCTGCACAGGCCTTGGCTTCATACTTTGTGTCCTCTGGTCAGCTTCTAGAACCAAAGGGCCCTGGCCCTGGCCCTGCCCTGGAGCCCAAGCAGTGTTGCCACAGGCGTGTCTGCCCTTCTGACTTGGTGGGGTGGGAGTGCTGGTTAGCACAGGCGGGCCCCGGAGACCCGTCTGGTGCTAAAGGATGTCCTAGCTGACCTGAAGTTCTGCTTACCCTCACTTTGGTGAGAACAGTGAGGGAACAGCTGATGCCACAGCGCCGTGGAGGTGGAAAAGCAGTGGGCTTGTGGCTGTGTTCCAGTGCCCCAGCCTCACTACTGCCTGTGGCAACCCTGGCCGTCACGTGTCTGTGTCTGTACACTCAGGACTGCATGGAGCTCTAGGGGCCACACGAGAGATACTGGGGCCTGAAAGCCTCTTCGTGGCCCTCCCTTCCTTTCCTGTGTTCTCTGGAGCCAGAAGTCTTGCCCCTATGATTTGTCTTTGACTTCTGGGCCACCTCAGGAATGGACACACTTTCTCAGTGTTTGGCTACCCTGGTGGGGGGTTCCGCTGTCCGACCGTGAGTGAGGAGGGCGATTCCCAGGTAGGATCCTGTGGGATGAGGCTCTGGCAGAGGGCGTGTGAGGGCTGTGGCTGGGCAGCGCGGACGAGCTCAGCACAGGCAGGTCTCAGGAGCGCGCTCTGACAGGAGGCAGTGAGATTTCTTCTCGCTTCTTGAGTAGAAGAGAACCCGAATGGTCACTTTGGTGGCTACATGGTGAATGTCAGAGACTTGTCCATTACTCTTCTCAGTGCCACCTCGTTCATTTGACTGACTCTCAGGCTTTCTGCTAAACACCAGTGCCACAGACTGTAGTGTGATGTGGCCCCGGCCCTGGGCTCACAGCCTCTGGAGACAGCAACAGGCAGAAAGAAGGGGCCCCACACTTGTTCTTACTAGGACGGGGGGCTGGGAGCCTGGGGTGGGAGGGGGCTCTTTGCCCTGCAGGGACTGTCTGTGGCTAGTGTGGTTAGGACTGAGGGAGGGAGACCCAGGGGAGCTGGCAGTGGCCTGAAGGCCTGTGTGAATCAGCTGATGGCATCAGGACACTGGCCTGGTCCTGTGCTATCAGGCCACAAAGGTGACAGCTACTCACTGCTCCTCTGTGAAGATGGCCTTGGGGGAACACAGCAGCCTGCCAGTGCTGTAATGGGGCCAGGAATCCCGAGGGTGGCCGTGAGAACTGCTGTGTGGGGCTCCTGGCTCAGGCCGTCCACACGCCAAGGCAGTCAGCGGATATGCGCCTGCACAGGCAGCCCTGGGAGTGCCGTGGGGGCCGTCCCAGCACCGGGCAGTGACTTCTCTCTCCTTTGCAGACCGGAAGCCCCCGCTCGCAACTGCCTTAGGGGAGGCCGAGCCACCGGGCCCTGTGGATGCCAGTGATCTCCCCAAAGTCCAGATTCCTCCTCCAGCCCACCCAGCCCCGGTGCACCAGCCACCGCCGCTGCCACACCGGCCACCACCACCGCCCCCCTCCAGCTACATTACCGGGATGTCCACCACCAGCTCCTACATGTCCGGAGAGGGCTACCAGAGCCTGCAGTCCATGATGAAGACCGAGGGCCCCTCCTACGGCACCCTGCCCCCAGCCTATGGCCCACCAGCTCACCTTCCCTACCACCCACACGTCTACCCCCCCAACCCGCCCCCACCGCCTGTGCCCCCACCTCCTGCCTCCTTCCCCCCACCTGCCATTCCTCCCCCTACTCCCAGCTACCCCCCACCTCCACCCACCTACAACCCCAACTTCCCGCCCCCACCCCCTCGCCTGCCCCCCACCCACGCAGTCCCACCTCACCCTCCTCCAGGCCTGGGCCTGCCGCCAGCTAGTTACCCACCTCCAGCTGTCCCCCCTGGAGGACAGCCACCTGTGCCCCCACCCATCCCCCCACCTGGCATGCCTCCAGTTGGGGGGCTGGGGCGGGCAGCCTGGATGAGATAACGTGACCTTTTTGTTTCCCTTTGTTTTTTTAACAAAAGTTTTTCTAATCAACTTGAAGAGTAGTTTAAGTGTGTGAGCAGCAGGATACCTTATATATGCTAGACAGTTGCACTATGGGAAGAAACGGACTGAACCCCGTGAGATGAAATTGGGGCGGTCCTCCATGCCTGGAGAATGGGGACAGCGGTTTTCAGTGTAGCCTAGGAATCCAACTGTGTCCTTGGTTTCAGCTGGTGTCGTCTGAGAGTCCTGCACTGAGTTACTTTGTACTAGTGAAAATGTTAACCAGCCATATTGGCTCAATAAATAGCTTCAGTAAGGAGTGAATTTCCTTCTAGAAGTCAGTGCCTATTTTTCCTGGAAACTCAATTTTAAATAGTCCTGTTCCATCTGAAGTCAAGCTGTTGTCATCGCTTTCATTCCATGATGTTCTCTTCCATGACCCCCAGCAGGTCAGATGTGCCACTTTTTTCATTTAGAGATGTTTACCTCCTTTGTATTAAAGTTCCTTTGAAGGGGTTGCCTTGTTGGATGGCCTTTTTCTTTTTCCTCCAGGGAGAAGGGGAGAAATGTGCTTGGAAAGTAATGTATGTTTACAATGATTTACAAATTCCTGTACATAGAGATATATTTTTTAAGTATGAATGTAACAACATACTGTGAATTGCATCTTGGTTACAAACAAGACTCCTTCAGTCAGTTATCCAAATAAAATCGGTTCTGAAACGGCCCCTTTGTTCTGGGCAGAAAGCAGCCCCAGGGTTTGAAGTCCAGCAGCCAACCTCCCTGGCCCCGTGGGCCCGAGCAGTGGGCACTCGAGGAGCACTGCCCAGGAGAGGCCTGCTGGCCGGCCCTGCTGCCAGCCTGATCTAACCCCTCGTCTCTCAGGGCAGCACCTCGGGGGGCCTGCCCTCAGGCCAGGCTACCACGTCGTGGGCCTGCGTTGACCTGCTCTGAACGATCGGTTGAGTTCCCACTGCTCTGGAACCAGCAGATGGACCTGCATCGAGCGCAGTTCCTAGGTTAGACAAAGGTTTGGGTTTGAAAGCCTTTCTGTTTCTGGCTTGGGAGGAGACAGAGGCCACGAGAGTAGCGCTGGTGGTCTCCCCTGTCCACCCTGAGGGGCCGGGGCTTGCTGTCTAGGGGAGGGGCTTCGCATCAGGCTGTCCCTCCCTCTGAGGTGCTCCCAAGGGCCGTGGCCCTCTGCCCGCGACAAAGAAGGACTGCGCACACGCCGCGGAGGCTTGCAAAGAGCCTTTATTTATCTAGCGCAAAGTAGACACTATCACAATTCTCTGTTACTCCTTTTACTAAAATAGTTCAAATCAATGTTTTTACCACACTATCAAAAAGTTCTATTTCTTTTTCTCTTCTCAAATCAAAGTGGTTCGATAGAAGGTAGAAACGGGCACAGGAGTCCCAGCTCTGCCCGGAGCCGGGGAGGGGCTGGCCCGTTCTCACGGCGTCACGTTCTACAGAAAATAGAGCATGGCTGCCGGCCGGGGACAGGAACCAGACGTTCCAGCCCGTTTCCAGAAAGCAGCACAAATACTTCCCCCCACATTATGAAAAATATACACCTCTACCGCTCTGCAGTCATGCATTTACTTTGTATCTTTAAAAAAAAAAATCAGTAGTATGTTGTTTCCTCTCAAGTTTTCAAGGAAAAAAAATGAAAGGTCACTTTCTTCTCTTTAAACACTGATGTGTAGCTAATAACTTTTGGATAAAAATGTGCCACCCTAAAAAATGTGCTCAGCAGATTCCGATTCCAGGATGGTCTTGGCCACCTGAGGTGAGGCTGGAAGGGTGGCCTCGGTCACAGTGGGAACTGAAGCCACAGTACAGGTGTCACACTGGGCTTCAGGCTCTAGAATCAGTTTGTGAGACAGAGAGGGACCTTTATGAAAGGACGCCAAGTTCGGCAACACCCCACCCCGACCACGTGCTTCCAGCCCTAAGGCTCCGGCGGGGAGGAGGGTCGCCCCATGTCCCCCTACGTACACTAGCACACTAACAGTGGCAGAGCTGGGAATCGCCCTGAGCTGGCCTCCGGCTCCCCCTGTGGTGAGGCCCCTGGGACCCTCCCCCGCCTGTGGGCTCCTGCTGAATTGCCTGCTGTCCCCGGGTGTGGGGTCAGGGAGAGGGCTGCTGGCTTTTTTTTTAACAGGTTATTACGTTAGGGAGATGACTGTCCCAGGTACAGTTCTGTCCTAGACAGCCATCCCGTGCAGCGTTGGTGAAAGGGTGGGAAGGAGGCGTCTGCACCTGGCTTGTGCCACCTCCACGGCAGGCAGGAGGGTTCTTGGGCCAGAAGTGCTCCACCTGGACACCCCCGCAGCGTGAGGGACAGTCACTCCCCTGCAGAGGGGCAAGGGCCCTTCAAGGCTGTTCTTCCCGGGGACAGTCTGCAGGAGGTTTGCAGATACCAGGAGCGCTTACTTATTGCTTATTTTCAGGGGTGGCCAAGCCAACCCAACCCAGCCATGATGAATGGGCTCCGAGACTTGGCTCCCACCCAAAATGGACCCACACCCCCTTGGGGCTGCTCTGTGGTTCTCTGGACTCCAAGACCCAGAGGGGGCCTCTGCCCTCACTGCCCACTTGAGCAAGAATTGCCCAGTACCATGACCAAGGATGTTCACCAGCTCCAAGTGCACACCCCTAGTGACAGGGAGCTCACCACCTGACCTGATGGTAAGCTCCTTCCAGAAAGAGCCCAGAGCTCCCTGTAATACCCAGGGCAAGAGGAACAAGCCTGTCACCTACTTAGCACCCCTGGGTACGATGAGGGCCACGAGCCTTTCGCCTGAGAGTGTACAACGCAGCGGTGCCAATGGCGAACCGCAGGAACTGCTCAGAGTCCCCACTGGGGAGAGGGACAGGGTGGCCCCTTCCACCCCCATGCCTGGGCCCCATCCCTCACATGGGCCTGGACAAGGCCCGCCTGATGTGAAGGCACCTCTCTGGGCTCTTCAAGTGCTTGCTGCATGCAGTGCTCAGTACCACGGGAAGAGTGATGAAGTCCGAGGCTGGGTGAGGAACTGGACAAACATGAGTGGACACCAGGACTGGTTATGACAGCATTAATGGTGACCATACCTCCTTCCAGGGTCTGGGATCTCATTTGTAATGTGCCACAGATCACTTATCCCCCTGGGCCTCATGTTCCCGCCACACACAGAAACTGACCTATGGCACTTTACAGTTTGTACATGGTCATTTACACTGATGGTCTCATTATCCCCAGAGCCCTGCAAGGAGGGCATTCTGCTGCCCATTCTACAGTGGAGGACACTGAGGCTCAGAGAGGGGAGGTGACCGTCCGCCCGCGATGAGGCAGCAGAACTCGCTGGGGCCCCAGCTCCGCCCAGCCCACGCGGCCCGCGGCCTCTCCAGCAGGCGGACCCCTTCCGTGTGTGTGCTGTGAACGAGGGCACAGGCCGACAGAGCTGATGGCCTCAAATGGTGAGCACAGCTGAACGAACCACTGAGGCCATATTTTTCCACCAGGGGCCTATAGAGGCTGAGTGACTTGCTGAAGGTCACACAGCAAATTAAAGCCAGAGCCAGGTCAGGCTCCTTCCAAGGAGGGCAGAATTCTTGTCATCTGAGGCCATGCAGCTCTGTCCACAGTGACCTAGGATGGGGCCACTGCAGCTGGCCAGAGGTGCAGCCATGGCCCAGTGCTACCCATCTGGAGAGAAAGAGCATGTGGCTCAGCCCAGAGACTCTCCACAGGGCCTTCCTACGTTCCTGGCCCAGCCTGGGAACCACAGAATTGGGGATGCTGCAGGCACTGGGCAGGAGGGACCCAAAGACAGGGCACCACCTGGCACAGGGCAAGGGGACATTGCAGAGAGTTTGCGGCGGGGGGGGGGGGGGGGCATCAACTCTAAAAACAAGCAGCAGCTGGCCACAGAGGGGCTGGCACAGAGGCCACAGGAAGGGCCTCAGAGCCTCCAGCCAGCCATGGACACGGTGAGTTTCCTTGTGCATCTTTCAGGGGCCCCAGTGCTTGGTGAGCCAGCGTTCAGGCCACAGCAGGTGGGCGAGAAGTAGGGCCCCTGCATCAGGGCCAGCTGCCAGTGGCCTCTGTCCAGTGCCGGTGGCAGCTAGGGGGGTGGAGGGCTTGAGGAGGTGCCCCTCCATCAAAGCTGGGCACAGCCTGGGCTGGTTCCCGGGCCTCTCACCAGTGGGGCCCAGAGCGCCAGCCCCAGAGCAGGAACGAGGCTCCAGGCCGCTCTGCCGCGCGGGGAACAGTCAGCAGCTTCTTATCTTCCCAGTTTGCTGGTGTGTGAGAGGCGGGGGATGGAGGCCCGACCGTTGATGCGTTGGACCCACGGCAGCCGGGCCACAGTGGGCGGCGTCCTATGTACAATTCACCACAGAAAAAGACGGCGCGAGGGCCTGCCCATGTCTGGGCTCTGCGGGCAGGGCCAGTCCACATCCATGGAGGAACAGCCCTACAAAGGCCCCTTGAACTGGTTCCCAGACAGGTGCTGCCGGATGGAGGGCTTGGAGCTGGCGGCATCTCCCAGTTTTCTCCAGACCACCTGTGGGGAGGGGCGAGACATAAGTGGAGCGCCCACCCCAAGCCCACCCACTGGCCTGTCCACACACCCTGCCTCATAGCTCTTCAAAAGCGCCCATGTCCCCAGACCCACGGGGCCAGGAAGGGAAACAGGCCGCATGAGGCCTGGAGACACTCAGATCAAGTCTGCATGTCTACCCTCACCACCATGCCTGCCATCCTGAGCAGGTCACCGCGGGGGTGCAGGCTCGGCTCGCAGCTGTCCAGTGGGGCCCACAGGCCTAGGAGGGGGGTTCAAAACACCCTACCCCCAGAGAGGCCCGGTTCAGCCCCTGTGGGCCACCCTTCCCTACTGGCTCCTGTCAGGGTCCAAAGAGATGACACGTATTGGCCAGGTGGGTCTCCCTCCCAGGCGGACTCAGAGGCAGCCCACCTTCTAGAAGCAAAGGCAGCCCCAGCCTTGCAGGCCCACAGAGCAGAGGGTCCTGCCTGCACCTCCAGTCTGAGCACCACCTGTGCGGCCAGCAGCCACCAGGGCCACCAGCAAGCTGGGAAGCTGGAGCCAGACATGGGGGACCAGGGACGAACAAGACCAGAGATGAGGGACCCCGTTTTCTGTGAGGGGAGGAGTGCGGTGAAGATAGGCCAGGGCTCCCCGGGCCCCAGCGCCTCCTCTCAGCCCTCCCACAAGGCAAGGTTGCGGCCACACTCCCAGGTCAGGCCCAGGACACCTCCCTTGCACCCAGGCCCCAGCCCCGCCCCGGGAAGCGCCTCACGTTGCACATCTCGCGGACGATGGCCTTCTCCTTCTCGCTCAGGTCCTCCTCACAGCTGTCCTGGAGCTGCCGGTCCAAGTTCTCGTGCACCTCCAGGACCTGCAGGGAACAGGTCCCAGGGTAGGGGCAGAGGCCACCAGGCAAGTCACCCTGAGCCTCAGCTTCTCCTGCTGCAGACAGAAGCTGAGGACCCAGCCACTGGGTTCCAGGACGAGGGGCATGGAGAGACCGAGGGGCAGGTTGTCCTTCCTCGCTCTGCGTCCTCTCCCCTCACCCTAGTGATGCTGTGGACGCCACCCGAGGGAAGCAGTGCCCCCATGCACTGGGGCAGAGCTGAGCACCGGTCCACCTGAGAGCAGGGCAGGCAGGGCAGGCGGGGGCCACACTCACACCAGTGGCCTCCAACCCAGATTACTGGGCACAGGACTCGAGGACAACACAGGCTTGCGCACGTAGGGTGTGTGGGTGTGTGTATCACAGTCACAGCCCACACAGGTACAAGTGTGCCGTGTCTGTGCAGACGTGCCCCAGGCCCCTGTGCCTGTGTGCTTGCGTCCATGCACACGTGTGTGGTATCCATGGTGCACAGACAGGTGGGGAGATGAGGGGTGCAGCAGGGGGACAGGCTCCAGGAGTGCGAGCTGTCCCAGGGGAAACGAGCACGTCGTCGGGACCTGCACCCGGAAGCCCTGAGAGGGAGGCAGCTGCCCGTGGAGGAGAGGCTGGGCTGGGAGCCCTGAGCTTCCGTCCCAGCCCCAGACCTGCCCCTCACTCTCTGACCCTGGGGGAGAGCCCACTCACACTCTTCCTCCCCCATGCCTCAGTTTCCCCAGCTTCAGGGATGGCAGACAGGAGGTGCACTTGCTATGGCCACCCAACACCTCTAAATCGCCCCCCTAGTGTGCCAGGCAGTGACGGCCACCCAGTCCCCCACAGAGAGATGACAGCCCCCAGGCTCAGAAAGGGCAAAGGTGGGGTCAGAGGTCCCATGGTCCCAAAGTGCACCAGGGATCCAGGACTTCTGGGGGAGCGGGAACTGGCCCTCACCTTCATGGCATGCACCACAGCCTCGGGCTTCTGTCCTGCAGAGCTGTAGCCGGCAGGGGGCGAGGACAGCTCGGGGACGGGGCAGGCTGGGCCCTGCGGGAGGAAACCACACGCCTCAGCTCACCCTGGCCGGCTCCCAGGCGGCGGCCACAGCTGTGACCAGCAGCCCGGAGAGGTCCCTGACCCTGTGGGGCCAGGGCCCAGGTGGAGGAAATGGGGAGAGGAGGAGGGGGGTGAGGACTGGGCCAGGGCATGGGGGCAGCACCCAGACCCCAGCCACGTCCCGCAGGCTCCTCTAAAGAACCCACGTGGAACATCTGCTATCTGTTTTTCAGATCACCTGGGGACACGTGGATGGCTGGAACTGACCCCAGGCCGCCTGACTTCAAAGCCCCCCACACCCCACCCAGAACTCCCAGAGCTGGCAATCTCATCCAGCCCCGAGCGCTGCCTCCCAGCCCTGTCCGGCCACCTGGGCGACGCCACCTCATTTGGCAAACACTCCGGCTGGCACCAGGTACCCGGCTCCCACATCAGCCTGGGGGCAGGAGACGAGGCCACAGGAGGAGGGGATCCAGCCTCTCGCTCCTCACATGCCTGTGTCATAGGCCGAGTGTCCGCCCAGTGCCCCTCAGCTTCTCCCCCACAAGGGTCACTGGGCCCCGTGGCTGTGGGGCAGGGTGCAGGGTTTCTGTCTCAGGCTGCAAGGAGGGACCCTGGCTGGACTTGAGATTCAGAGCCCCACAGAGGAGCTCACAGACAAGGAAGCCTCCCAGATGGAGCCCCCGGGGCTCATAGGAGCCAGGAGGTCAGACTCGGGGGGCTCGGCTGATGGGGCCATCGCCCTGGAATCCTGCCCAGCCAAACCTCAGTGCGGGCACCCTGAGGGCCCAGAACCTTCTGCCACCAGCAGCCAACCCCCCTGTACTCACCCACCTGCCTGGCCTGGACCTGCTCCTGGCCCCACATGTGGCCTTGGGGCCTGGGAAAGCTGGGCTTGGGCAAGGCTCTGCAGGCTGTGACCTGTGCCTTGGTTTCCTCGTCTGACAACAGAGTGGGTCCCTGTGTCCCAGGGTGTGTGCAGAGCCCTGGATGCTGCCTAATGTGTTTTCTACCACCAGCTTCCAGTGCCCTGGCCAGGTCTGTCATGGTGAGGAACCAAATGGGGATTGGCGGGGGGGAGGGGGGTGGTGGCTTCTGAAGGGACAGGAGACAGGTGGAAGGCGGGCCACACACAGGTGCGCAACCTGAGGCAGAAGGCTGCACTCCCCCATCGGCCAGCAGGGGGCGACAGCCACACACATACAGCCCTGGATGGCCCTGGCACCTCCCGCCTCTCGTCCTGTCTATACCTGGGGCTCCCAGAACCGCCTGCTCCATAAGGGGGCTGGTCCCTGCTCCAGGGGGATGATTCCTGGAGCAACGGCAGGAGGGAAGCCAGGAGTCACCAGGGTAGGCTGAGGACTCCAGCGACTTTCCTGGCCCGCTCACCGCCAATGAGTGTGGCTGCGGGGTCCTGTGAATGAAGCTGCCACTAGACAAATACCATGTATAAGGAGCAACTGAACGCAGTCAGGACCGTTACCTCCAGGGCGCCCCCAAGCACAGCACACCCCTGAAGGCCCCGCAGCTGCGGTGGGGAGGACCACAGGCTGGACCAGCCCAATGACACCTCCCGCTTCCTAAGCGTCCACTTGGAGCAGCACGACCCACGGAATGTTCATCACAACCCTCTGGGCAGACACGACATTTTACATCCCCATTTTACAGATGACTCACCCAAGGCTATAAAAATGGGGCTGAGCCTCAAACCCGGGTCTGTGGGGCTCCAGAGCTGGTGCAAAAGTGGGGAGATCAGTGTCTACCCCAAAGAATGGAAAACATCCATCCCCACAAATCCCTGTCCAGGAATGCTCACAGGAGCCCTATTCTCAACAGGGGAAAAACTGGCAACAACCCACATGTATAGCCACTGACGACCAGACAGCACAATGCGGTGGATCCGCACGGGAGAGGCTATGCGACAAGGAAAAGGAATGAAATACTGATGCACACAAGACGTGGGTGAACCTTCAAAACTCCATGCCGAGTGAAGGCAGCCGGTCACGAAGGACCACAGATTATACGATTCCATGAATGCGAAAGGACCAGAACAGCAAATCTAGAAAATCTAGAAAGTACGTCAGCGGTTGCCTGGGGCTGGGAGGAGGGGGGATGGGAAGGGAATGCTAATGGGTACGGGATTTCTTCTTGGGATGATAAAAATGTTCCCCTGTGACGATTGCACAAATATCTGAAGATACTAAAAACCACCGAATTGTATGCTTAAAAATAAAGTCAATGGACAAAAAAAAGTGGGGAGTCCAGCTCCCCCGAGGGGCCTGGCAAAAACTTGATCCTCCACTCAGGAGGCTGCTCACCACAAACCCCCACCCCCGCTCCACTGACAGGCGGCCAGGTGGGCAGGGAGGGGGTCCCCACTGCAGAGTCACCTGTCTCACCTCGGGACCCTCTGACGTGCGGACCTGCGGGTAGCCGTACAGAAGATTGCGCACAGGGTGGAAGGCCTGTGCCCTGGCAGGATCAGCACAGAGGGTCCCCCAACACACAAGTCATCACTCTCCCCATGGCCCCGTGTGCCTGACACGAGCTCTGGGACCCGGCGAGGGCTCGGTGCCACATGAGTGCCCCCAGAAGCCAGGCCTCTGAGCCTCCACCTCGGCCCCCCACCCCTCCACGGCCACTCCAGCAGCCTTTCTGGCTGCCCCTCCTACCAGACACCCCAACCCTCTCCAGCCACCCCAGGGACCTGCCCCCAGCCTCAGGGAGCCTCACGCCAGCCCCTGGCCCCCAGGCCCAGGTTGGCCTGGCACCAGCACATGCTAGCCATGCGACCCTGTCCCCTGGGCCTCGGCTTCCTTCCTTCTGAAGTGGGGTGACAGCCCCTGGTGTGCAGAGCGGTCTAGAGGACAAAAGGAGGTGAGGCACAAGCAACCCCTCCCAAAGCCTCCTCCAGGAAGCCTTCCAGAACGTTCACTCCCTCTGACAGCGTGGATCTGCCCTGTCGAGGCCTCCGAGGCCCAGCCTGTGGGGCATTCTCTCTGGAGAGGCCTCGGGGGAGCAAGACCCCTCTGCTACATCCTGTAAGCCTGGCACATCACAGGAGCCAGCTGGGTTTGCACAGCACTTCACCGTTTGCAGATCGCCAAGAGGGCTTCAGCACACAGCACTCCATAGCTGTTAGCCGTCAGGCTTCCCCCGATGCTCAGAAGGCACGGAGGAGTGGAGGACCAGCCCCCGTGGGGCATCACCGGCTTGCCAGAGCCCTTCCTCACGAAGCAACTGGAGCCTCGTTCAGCCAGGGCCTCCTGGATAAACGTTTGGATCGTGTGCTGTCGGCAGGCTTTGCCGCCCACGCAGCATCAGCAACCACGTTCCTGCAGAAGGTGTGAGGGCCTCCAAAGAGGATCAGCAGAGCGCTCGGCCGGCAGCGGTGGTGGCACCAGCGCAGGGAGGCCTCAAGGAGACACCCTGAGGTCGTCCTTGCTGGGGGTGGAAGAGAGACAGCAGGGCCAGGACCCCGGCTGAGACGCCAGGCCCACCTGCCCCCCTGGCAGAGTGGCCTCGGGCTAGCCCCTCTCCTGTCTGTTCCATGGGGACAGTCAGGGTCCCCGCCATGCTGGGGGGCCCTGGTGCGTGGAGAGCCCCCTGCACGCACGGCCCGCAGCCGACACTCAGTAACCACTGGTGTTCTTGTCACAACCTTCTACAGGGCTCACAGGGGCAGCGCCTCCTGCACAGTGGTTTTCACTATCTTCACAGATCTGTGCCATCATCACAAGAGAACGCTCTCGTCAGCCCCACAGGAAACCCCGTCCACTCCACAGCCCCTCCCCGTGCCCCGTCCTCCAGCCCCTGGCAGCCACCAACGGACCTTCTGCTTCTGTAGATCTGTGCTTCCTTTTTTTTTCATTTATTTTTTTATTGAGTTAATGATAGGTTACAATCTTGTGAAATTTCAGTTGTACATTATTGCCTGTCAGTCGTGTTGTAGGTGCACCCCTTCACCCTTTCTGCCCACCCCCCACCCCACCTTTCCCCTGGTAGACACTAATCTGTTCTCTTTGTCCACATATTTAAATATCCTCATATGAGTGGAGTCATACAGAGATTGTCCTTCTCTATCTGGCTTATTTCACTTAACATAATTCCCTCAAGGTCCATCCATGTTGTTGCAAATGGAACGATTTTCTTCTTTTTTCTGGCTGAGTAGTATTCCATTGTATATATACACCACATCTTCTTTATCCAATCATCTGTTGATGGGCACTTAGGTTGCTTCCATGTCTTGGCTATTGTAAATAATGCTGCAATGAACATTGGGGTGCATAGGACTTTTGGAATTCTGACTTCAAGCTCTTTGGATAGATACCCAGTAGTGGGATAGCTGGATGTAGATCCGTGCTTTCTACACACAAAATGTCACACAGGGATGACAGGCACACTGACCCCAGGGAGCAGGCCCGAGCTAGGCCTCCACTTCCCGGACAGCTCGCCCCGTGCTGGCCCTCCCGTTCCCAGACAGGGTGGGTCAGAGCCCAGCATGACCCCAGAGGCCCTCTGTCGGTAATTTAAGGATACAGTCCTGCACAGATAAACACCGCAGGCCCCACCCCAAGCTCCAGCCCCAGCTGGGCATCCTCTCCCCAGCCTGTCCGAGGAGTGGCACAGGCTGACGAGCTGCACAGAGGGACAGCAGTGGGGCCTGGGCAGCTGCTTCGGGGTCCCCGGACACAGCCCCGAACTGCCGGCCACGTCACCCTGAGCCAGGCCTCCCCCTCTAATGGCCACACTTGGCCCTCACGGGGCTCCAAGGGTCAGGAGCCCAGGCGCCTTCACGGGAGGGTGGGGGGAGAAGGGAGGAATGAGGAAGGCCACTCAGGCCGTGAGCCCCAGCCTTGACTGCTGCCCTCGCCTGATCAGGAAGCAGCTCGGGCAGAAGGTGAGGGTCTCAGTCCAGGCCCAGGCACGGGCCCCCAGCAGGTCAGCAGCCAGTCCGAGCCTTTCCCCTCCCCCGGAACGTGGACCAAGGATTCAGAGGAGGCGCCGGCTCCACACGGGAACAGCGGGTGCTCGGGGGAGGGGCACTCACGTTCTGCAGGGAATCCTGGTAGGAGGGTGGCAGGGACGCAAGCTGGGACTCCGAGTGGTACGGGGAGAAGCCCTTCCGCAGCGTCCGGAACTCTCCGGAGCCCGCCTGCTGCAGGGGAAGACGAGGAGAGGTTAGAGGGGAGGGGCCTGGCTGGGTGGACCAAGGACCGCTGCTCCCCTGGCTGGACGCGATGCTCCTGCCCATCCTCCATCCTCCGGGTGGCTCTGCTCCCTGCACCTGCTTGGAGGCCCCACCCACATACACCCCTCCCCTCCTACCCCGGGGTCCTCACTGCCATGAGCATCCCTTTACATCCATCACCCCGCGCAGGTGCCACTGCACCAGTCCAGGGGCTTCGCTTTTCTCCGTGCGGTCTGCTTCATAAACGCTTGTTGAACAGCTGAATAAACAGATGAGCAAGGAGTGGACGAGTGCGGGGCTCTTCCACCCTTGACCCTCGTTCCTCTGCTCCAGCATCCCCCGCACCCCTGGCCTGCGTCCTGCGTCCATGGGAAAGTCCCCTGGCCTCCCGCGGGTGCTGGCGCCCCCTACAGCGTGAGCCCACCACAGCGCTCAGCTCAGGCTGCCCGATAGCCTACACCATCAGACAGGAGCTCCCAAATGTGGCCGTGAGGTTAAGTTCATGCACTATGCTTCAGCAGCCCGGGTTCCGCCGGTTCCGATCTTGGCGCAGACACGGCACGGCTCATCAAGCCATGCTGAGGCAGCGTCCCATATAGAAGAACTAGGATGACTTACAACTAGGATATACAACTATGTACTGGGGGTTTTGGGGAGAAAAAAGTAAAAATAAAAAAAGAGGAAGATTGGCAACAGATGTTGTTAGCTCAGGGACAATCTTCCTCCCCAAAAAGAAAAAGCAGCAGCAGCTGGCCTTTTGGGCCCCTATGTCACTCGGACTCTGGGGTGGCATGTCTGGCCCAAACACCCTTTTCTACTTCAAAGGAGCCAAGGGAACCCTGTTGGGTAGATAAAATGCAGCGGAATGTCCATCGATCAGCAGGCTGTTGAGTTTCCCAAACAAATCCTGGAGGGGAGGAGGCCACCCAGGGCAGGAGCCAGGCAGGCAGGGCCAAGGGCAGCAGCCACGCCCAGGGGTCCCTCCTCTCACTCCTCAGCCCCCCCTGCCCAGCCCAGGAGGGATCCAGACACGCCCTGCTCCCCTCCCAACAGCCCAGGCCCCGTTTCTCACAGGGTCTCCAGCCTCACCGACTCCCTGGGTTCTGCTCTCCGGCCCCCATCACACCCCCCAGGCCTCACTGGCCTCGGCTTAGGGACCACACAGCACCGCCCTCCACATGGCTTGGGATGTGGATGAAGGCTCAGTTAAGGAGCTCCCCGCTAAGCACACCGTGGGGCCCGCCGGCCAGAAAAGAGACCCAGCCATCCAGCTGAGGAGCTATTCCCACGGCCTCCCAGAGGACCTGAGTGTGAGCCGAGGTCACCACGGGGCATGGAGAGGGGAGGAGCAGGGAAGGTCACAGAGGGGAGAAGTGGGGGGGGGGGCCCTCCCACAGTGGCCCCCAAAGTGTGGCAGGGCCTCACCAGGGAGACCCTGGGCACAGCCCTGGATCTGACAATGGGACTGGATACCCGATCACGGCCTGGGTTAACCAGAGACCTCAGAGCCTCCTCCCGGCCCAGCCAGGGGTCCAATCAGTTGGAGCCCCCCTACCACGGCACCAAAAAGAGAAAGAGGCCACAGCCGCTGCCCCACCCCCTCGCCCAGCACTCTCCCCCACCATGGGGATCCCCCCTCTTCAGGGACCCCGTGTCTCCCTGTCTCGCCTTCCCTGGGGCAGTCATCCCAGCTCCACTCAAAGGAAAAAGTCCCAAACCATATCATTATCCTGGCCTGGTCTCTGTGACAGTTACAATCTTCTGCAATGGAGAGTATATTCTAAACCCAAACACACTGCACGGCCACACCTGGTGCCCCCAGACTCTCACCTGCCCTCCGACACCATCCTGCAGAACATCCCCCACCAGCCCCGCCAGGCTGGCAAGAGAAAGTTTAAGAGACCAGGTGTAAGGCCCAGTCGGGCCCAACACACACACGCTGACATTTATTTGGCCACACGGCCAGGAACTTGAGCCACTGTTCTCTCCCAACAGCCCATGGGACTAGGACAGCTGGGCCCTGCCCTGTCCTTCCCCTCACCCCATCTAGGTTCTGTCCTGGGCTGAGTCCTACCTCCCCACAGCTTCTCTGGCCCTGGACCAAATGGGTTCAGAAGCAGGCCACACGCCATTACTGAAAACACTCCTTGGGAGGAGGTGTGTGTGCAAGAGGGTGGGGGAGTTTAATTAGCAGCATGCAATTCCCAGCCCTGCCTTCCATGATCGTCTATAAATATTTGCACGTCCGCAGAACTTTATTAGCAAGCCACAAAGCTGGCAGGAAAAAAACGCACAATCTCTCATTAGGGGCAATGTGACTAATGACGCATCGAAATGAGGAACCATAATTGCACTTAAATCCAAATTAAAAATCCTGGCATTTGCCGTGCTGGTGCCCTGGAAGAATGAAGCCCCTAGGTTTTCATTGCTGCTGAGAAGCAGAGCAGAAATGGCCTTCTGGGGTGGCTGGGCCTGCCCCTGGGGGCAGCGTGCAGCTAAGGAAGGTTCGGGAAGCGGGGAGGCACACTGCCACGCCCTGGGAGAGGAGGCCAGCCCTGCCCACGGTCTCCTCAAATGGGTGGCTCAGGACACAAGGAGAGGGACCTTACACACAGAGCCCGCCCAGCGCGGGAACAGGATTTCCCCAATCCTTAGTAGGAAAGGAAGCAACCGAGTCCTGCAGACGCAGCTCTGCCCCTTCCAGCCCATCCGGTCCCTGCAAGGGCAGCTTGAGAATTCTGGACGGGAAGGAGAGGCCAGGAGGCTGCAGGGTCCCCCCAGTCCCCTGAGGCCCCCAGAGTTAAGGACCCCCCCGGCCTCTGTGCAGGGCCATCCCTGCAGCGCTGCCCAGCTCAGAGCCAGCCGCGGCCTCGCAGGGGAGACTCAGGCCACCTCTCCAGAGGGGCCTTTGCAGGGCTGCAACGAGGCTCCGCAGAGAAGGAGCACCCCAGCCACCGCCTTCCCCAGGACTCCTGCTTGGGAAGCTGGGGGCTTCCTTGGGGCCACCCCAGGATACTGCTGGGGAGCCCTGTCAGAGCGATGCTGAAGATTGAAAAGGGCCCCCAGTCGTGGGCTTGTCCACTCGGGCTCCTTGTGGGGGCCAGCAGCTGCGAGCAGCCCCTTCCCGGGCTCTCCTCGAGAGCAGCCATTGTCACCCCTCCTTCCTGCTCCCGAAGGGCTTTGGGCCCCTCGAAGGGCACCATGTGCTACAGCAGTTTTGTGTCCTGGAAGCACCCACTGTGTGCACCCCAGAAGGGAGGCAGCGCCTGACAGGTGAAGCTGAGGACTGTGGGGTGGGGGCTCGAGGATGAGCACTGCGTCCCCACTGCAGCCAGCCTGCAAGTGACTGCTGGGACCACCAGACCCACGGCCCGGGCCAATTTGCATGCAGTGACCATGGCAGGACCCTCTTCAGAGGGGGCCATCCTGAGCCACTCCGGACTTGTCCCTTAGCCCACCGGCCCTCACGGCGCAAGGTGGGGAAGGGGCTCTGATCCTGAGGGACACTTACCAGCCCTGCTCCCCGAAACCATAACACGGGGCAGTCATGCCTGCCTCTGAGGGGGGCAGGGCTGCCGGCTTGGTGGGGGTGGAAGCCCAGCCCAGGGCTCCGTGGGGCTTCTCCTTCCTCCAGGCAGCCCCAGAGCCCTCCCTCATTATGAGAACCTGGGCCAGCAGGCACCACCACTAACTCAGGCAGCCTTGGCAAACCCCTCCTCCCACCTCGCACGGCGGGGTTCTCCCCACAAAGTGGGGATTCCACTGCCTGGTGCCGACCTTACAAGCTGGGGGACCCCGCAAGAGGAGGAAGAAGGGCCTGCATCTCCTGGCTCCTCTCCTGCTGTTTCGTAAAGCTGGACACCCACGCCAGCTCGGCCAGAGGCAGGTGCACACAGGACCAGGGCACCCTGGGTGATGGTCCCAGGAAGGGGCGGGAGGGTGCTGGGAGGCAGCGAAAGGGGGGACCCAGAGCAGACAGGGCTCCACACAGCACTCAGAGCAGCCCCCACTCCCCCAAACGCCACTGCAAACAAGCCCCCAGCTCTACCTGAAGCCAGCTTCTTGGGCGGCCGTAGGGGCGGGGTAGCTGGAAGGGAAGACAGCGTGTCACCACAAACCCCAGCCATGACCCTCACCACTGCCCCCTCCCCTGGACACCCATTATCCCAAAGCCGCCGGAGCCTCTGCTGGGCCAGAGTGAGGGGTCCAAGGCTGAGGTAGCGGGTCCCCAAGGCGCCCCACAGGAGCCCCACGTTTTAGAAACTCGATTCAACAAGGACTGACAGCCTCTGCCACACGTGGGCACAGGGACCCACCCCCTTCATAGCCCTCCAGAGGCTCACACCAGGACGCGGCTGCCCTTCCGAGAGGCCTCGAGCCGAGACACCCCAGGATCCCTGCTGAAAGAGGCCGTGTGGGGACATACCCCCGACTCGCCCCCGCTCTGTCCTCAGGGCAAAGGTGACCCGCAACGTCCCTCACAAGAGGATCTGTTTGGTACCAAAGATCTGCTTTTTTTCCCTTTAATTTTGAGAGACCTCATCTGCAGGCCACTAAGAACCACGGGGCCGCTGCTCGGCTCGGGGCTCAGAGGGCTCCTCCTAACTGGTCCTCAGACGAGGCAGGGAGAGGCCACGTGTGGTTGATGGGCGGCTGACGTTCCTTATCCACAGCGGGTACCGCTCCCCACCTCCCCATCAATTTCAGGCCCTAAATTCCATGTTTCAAACTCGGATGTGTGTACCACCCAGGACGACGTGGCCTGGGACCGATGGGTAACACACAGGCAGGGTCTCATCCACCACAATGACCGGCGCCCCCTCACAGGTCCCCTCGGCAGGCCCATTGCTCGTTCCGATGGAGTGAGTGAGGGACAGGCCGCGGGACCTCGCAGAAGGAGGTGGGGGACTTTGGAGGGGCACAGACTTGCAGGATCCAAATCCCGCTGTGGCTGGGTGGACCTGAGCAACTCACCAACTTTCCGGGTCTCTGTGTGCTTGCACATAAATTAGGGTTGAGAAGAACTCAGATGCCAGACGGCCCATAAGCGAGATCACAGAGGGTGACCCACAACCCAGACAGCTGGCCAGCCCCAGTCCTCGGGGCTTTCCTTGACTTTAATCCTGGGGCAGGCACCATTAGTGTCCCCATTTTACAGATGGGAAAACTGAGGCACAGAGAAGTTAAGCCACTGTCCCAACACCACCCAGCTGGGAAGTGGCACTTTGGGAATTTGACTCTCGAGTCAGGGACTGGCTCTCGAGTCCAGGGACTGGCGTCTCACCACGCTGACTCTCGCCCAGCACGTGGCTCACAGTAGACACTGGTTAAGTCTCAGGCACAGGGGACAGAAGTGGAATTCCTAGTCTGTCCTCCTGCTCCCGTTCCTAGACTGATCATCTGCTCAGACGCTGGAGAGAGGTTTCCCTCCTGGCTGAGGGAGAGGCTTGACGGCTTCTACGGTTCTCCTACCTGAGCATTTAAAGGCCTCCAGAGACCATGCCGCCCAGGACAGAGCGGGTAGGGACGTGACAGCCCCCAGACACCAGACAGTCAGAGCAGGGATGGCCCGGAGCCTGTCAAGAACGCGGCAAGTCACGGAAGACACCAGACAGCGCCACCAGAGAAATACCGTGAGGCCAGCACCTCCAAGGGCTAGGGCGAGGGAACCCCGCACCAGAACAGCCCGTCCTCATGAGGGACGCAGGAAATAGTACCAAGGCGCCAGCGACGGGCTTCAATGGTAGCAGAGGGTTCCCCTCTCTCCCAGACTGGATGGGTCAGAACTCAGATTAAGGACAAAGAGGAGCGGTGCATCTGGGGACGGCCAAGCCCAAGCCACCAGCTGGTGGGCACAGTGGGCCAGACCTTGACACATCCGGGATCCTCGGACCAGGCAAAGGTGAGAAGTCAGGCCCCGCCCGTGGCGCTCCCCAGGTGCGAGTTCCAGCCAGCATGGTGCGTGGTGCATGATGCAGTGAGCATCACCGTCACCCCGTCCTCCAGCTGAGGAAACTGAGGCGGCAGGTCGTAAGGGATTTGTCTAAAGCCACACAGCACAGGAGTGCAGGAGCAGGGGTCCCTCTGAACCCAGATCCCTCCAGGGCCCAAATCCACTTTCTTACATCATCAGGCCAACCACAGTATCGCTGCAGGTTGAACTGCGTTCCCCTGAAATTCATATGTTGACGTCCTGACCCTCAGCACCTCAGAATATGACCTATTTGGGGATAGGGTCTTTACAGAGGCAGCCAAGTTAAAATGAGGTCATTTGGCTGGGACCTAGTCCAATATGACTGCTGTCCTCATCACCCGTGCCAGGAAATCCTCCTCTGCCCAGGCCTCAGTTTCCCCATCTGTGCTGGGTGTAAATCCTGGGGTCACTTCCAACCTGAGCGTTCAGCCACAGTGTGGCATGGCAGAATGGGGGAAAGAGCGGGCGCAGGGTGAGGAGGGGGCGGGCTATGGCTGTTCACAATCCCGGCCTGGACCATTGCCTCCACTCCCCCAGATGGCCGCCCGCTCGCCCGATGTGAGACAGCATCGCGAGTGCTTCTTGCTCGTTTGTAAAGCTGGCTTCTGGGCACACACGGAGACTTCATTTATCAGCCCAGCAGGGGAGTGAAGCGAGGGAAAGACGGCGCGGAGGCCCGGCGTCAATTACAGCCGCCCCCCATCTCAGCCCAGCCGGGCACAGAGAATCCGCAGGAAAAATAATAACGTGCTCGAGACAAATCATCGCCGAGGAAGCAGCTGTGTTGATGAAATTTTAAAGCCGACATGAGAAAGAAAATACGAACTGTTATACAGTAATTTAGTCAGTGAACACTCTGGCACATTTTTAATTAAAGCTATTTTGGAGTTAAATAGAGGCCATGGGGGGAGGGGGTGGGGCAGTGAGAAGTGGGAATCCACAGGGGCGCCCTGCCCTCCTGCCCAAGCCCCAAAGCCACATCGCCTTAAGATAGTTCAAAGAGTAATACTGCTCTCTCCTGCTTTTCGCCCACGGGCAGATGCCCTACTCTGCACAAAGCTGGAGGTTTCCATGCAATTTGATTTCAATGACAAAACTTAAGTGCCAGAATCATAAAATCTCAGAAGCCAGAGCCCGTGAGGCTGGGGACAGAATCCCACCCATGGCAGCAATCTCTTTCTTCAAGATTCCCAAACGTGTCCATCCATTCATCACTTGATTATCTCCAAAGATGATATGCTCACTACCTTACTCCCTTGGTTACACAGACTTTCCTTATTCTGGGCAAGAACTGGCCTCCCCTCTTGGTCTAGGACGCTGGGTGAGGGACCAGCCAGGGGCTCCCCAAGATGCATCCACCCAGTCCAGCTATGCTGAGCACTGGAAACACAGATGTGACCACTCAGAGCCTGCAGCCCAGTCCTTGAGTAGCTGACAGTCCAGCAGGAGTCGGGCCCAGGCTCCCCAAGAGAGGATCACCATACCCTATCAGCAAGGGAGAGCAGCCCACAGGCTGAGCGCTCACAGCAAGTGCCGAGCCACCTGGGGGCAGCTGGGGAAGGCTGTTGGCAAGAGGCTGTGACTGAGCTGGGAGCCCATGTCTTGCAGGTGGCCAGGAGGAAGAAAACTAAGAAAGTCCCCTCCTCCCTGGACCTCCTTAGAATGAGGCCAGTGCTGGGGCCGAGCCCTGGCCATGGGGCTCTCTCCACCTCTGCTGTCCCCCAGCAGCCCCCTGTGCACATGAGTCCTACTGGCTGGGACGAGGAGGTGGTCAGGCAGTGACAAGAATGAGACTGGACTGTGGGCTCCCTGAGGGGAGGCCTCTGCCTGTCACCTCTGTACTCCAGGGCCATGCAAACAGCAGGGAACGAATTACACACTGAGTGAGTGAGTGAGTGCCCATTTTACAGGGGAGCAAATGAGACTGGGGGAGAGGAAGTGGCTTAGGATTCTCATTAGGCTGGTGCCATCTGAGCTACCCCAGGAATCCAAAGGCAGGTGAGGTGTGAACTGCCACCAGGAAGCCCTGAGCAGGCCGGTGGTGGGGGCCCTTCCCTCCCCGTCTCTCCATCCCACATGTCTCCTGCGTGGCTCAGAACAGGAGTGCCCTCCTCCAGGGCCAGCAACACCCACCACACTCAAGGCCAAGCTCCGGTGACAGCAAGTGACAGAGGCAGCAGGAGTCCCATCCATGGCCCTGGGGACACTCTAGCAATGCCACTGGCCCCTGCGTGCTTTTGCTGACTGTAGGTTGAGGGCTGGCTCCCCACCCCCCCGCAGCAGCAGGGGACAAAGGCAGGCAGGCAAGCTGTGCACCAGGGGGCCGAGGACCCAGCACCGCACGCTGCCCCCTTCTCAGGATGCAGGATGTAGCCCTGACAGCGGCTCACTGGGAGACCCTGGGCAAGACTCTGGGCCACCAGAGTTCCCTCAACCTGGAAGAGACAGGGATGGGACCTGGGTGCCCCGCCCCCACGACACACACAGGCACACACGGCCTGTGGAGTGGGTTGGCTCCACGGCCTTCGTTGTGAGAGGAAGAAAAGTTCTCCCAGAGAACTAGGACTACGGGGCACTTGCGCCCTGGGTGCTCTGAGCTCCCGGGGCCTCTCCTGTACTAGCATGAAGCCGGGCGAAGGCACGCTCTTGTCCCTGAATCCCAGCCTAACAGCCTACAGCCAGCAAGCCTGGGTCAGGTGAGGGTCCACATCCCCTCATCTGATGAATATCTGTGCCCGGCCCAGGCATGGGCACAGGTCAGGGACAGCACCCTACTGCTGCCCCCAGGGCAAGGCACCAGGTCTGACCCCTGGGAGCAGGTCAGAGCAGGCTGGGGGGTGAGAGACATCCCCCTGATGCCCCTGACACAGGGACCCTGTCCACCTGCACCTCTGCACATGTGGGCGTGAGGTGAGTGGAGACAGCTATGGGGGCTCCCTCATGAGACCGGGGGTGCCCACGGGGAGGAAGGAGGAGCAGCCTGAGCATGTGCACGTTTCCCACAAGTCCACAGCTAGGTCCACCACTTGGACCTGGGGGATATTTTCCCAGTGGAACAATGTGGCCCAGGACAGTGGGGGCCACAGTGTCAGGGTCACTCCCACCCTTGTGGAAACAGGACCACAACATTGCAAACAGCATCCTGAATCTGGGCGTACGCTCTCAGCCTGCTTCTCCCCGGGAACAATGAAACAAGAACAGCCAGACCGGGGCAGGCTCGCGAGGCCGCTGACCCCACCGGCCCGAGGCTTCAGCCACCAGAATGTGCTTCTGGCCTTCATTCCGCTGCACAGTGGCTGCAGCGGGCAACTCCCTCCCCTCCTTGCTGGAGAGGCACCAGCTCCAAAGCACAGGCCCCGGGCCCTATGTGCCCCCACCACCCCCAGGTCTCCTGGCGTCCCCTCCACCCACAGCTCCCGCAGCCACCCACGCCCTCCTCTAAACCACGACCGGCCCAGGTCAGGCCCACATGGAACATTTGGGTCTAAGGAGCCCCAGCCCGCAGCCAGGTGACACAGCCCCTCCCTGCCCTCACAGCCCCAAGGAGCCAGCACATCCTGTGGCCAAACCCTTCTGCCAAACTGGACCTTACCGACATATAAAGTTACAGCCCAGCCTTGCAATCCAATGCCTGCCTGGGCACCCGGGCGTGGGTGTGGCGGCCGTGGGGGTGTGTAGGAGTGAGGGAGAACCCAAACCTGAACGGCTTACTCTGCAGGGTGCTACAGGGCTGTGGGCACTGTCCATGAGGCCCGTGCAGGGGTGAGGTGTGGGACGGCAGTGCTGGGGGCCGGCTCCACGCTTGGGGCCAGGATCTCCCCAGCAGCCACCCAGCAGGCAGAGAGGGGGCCACGGGCTTCCCAAGCCAGGCAGTGATGCCAAGCCCCCTGGTTGCCTAGCAACGGGGCCAGGCAGCTGAGTCCTCCCTAGAGTTGGTTCCCAGAGAAACCCTCCAGGCATCCCGGCTGGATGCTTATGGGCCAGGGGCACGGCAGGGGAGTGGGAGGTGACATTAAGCCAGAGATGGGTACAAGGGAGGCTGGAGGGCTGGCCAAGCCAACTGGCCCCCAGGCACCCCAACCAGGGCTGATCACAGCCTCCCATCACGCCCCACCCGCAGCAAGGAAGGCCCCCAGTCCTGGCAGCTACAGCCCCTCCGTGCTCCAGCCACACTCAGCAAGAGCCCAGAGGCCCATCCCCTGGCTCTGCCTCTCACCCTGCACCACCTCCCCCGTGCACTGTGCGCATCTCCAAGTCTCTAACGCGCCAGCCCTGTGCTGGGGACATGCTGGGGAGGAGGCATGGCCTCATCTGTCTGTGGGCACCAGCCAGGCCCAGGAGGGAGGCGGGTGGACCCCAGTCTGGAGAGGGATGGGTGTGGCAGGGGTAGGGGGGTTTCCTGTGGGTCTGAGCGAGGGCGTGCCAGTCCACCTCTTGGGCCCTGATTTGCCCGTGCACAGAGGGGCTAAGCAGCCCATTTCTTCAGCAATTGTGTGTTCCACACCATCTCTGAGACAGGCCCAGTGCTGGCCCCCAGGGAGCTCGCAGGCCACCACGGGGACAGACAGTGACAGGCTGTGATGGAGGGAAGCCCCACAGGGTGTGGAGGGAGGATTAGGTCCCTGACCCCAGCATTCCAGGAGGTGACTCCAGGCGGGAGTGGGGGCAGGTGGGAGGTTATGGGTGTGAAGGGGGAAGGGAGCCCCAGCAAAGCTGGGGACCAGGGTGGGCACTGGAATAGTGAGGGGTGGCAGGGCCCACGCTGGCCCTCAAGTGCAGTAGGCACCGTCCCCACAGTCTGCCCATGACTGGCTTACCTGTGCAAGGATCTTGTCACCCTCCAGCAGCTTCACCTTGGTCTCCAGCTGCCTGATGTAGGTGGATGAGGGATCTGTAACGACATAAGGAGGCCACATTAACCATCACAGACTCTGTCTGCAGCAGGAGAGCCCGCCTCCCCTACCCACCCCGTGGGGGGCCCCTGAGCCTGGGTTTCTGGGACCTGTAGAAAGGAGGCGAGGGGCTTCCTCACAGCGTGTCCTAGGCTGATGCCTTCAGCCTCTGCTGTGCCTCAGGTCCACAAAGAGGACCCCCACACCCCCTTGAGGGAATGCTCACACCAGGAGGCAGCCCACCCCAGGGCCCTGGGTCCAAGGAGCCCCCTCCCCGACACAGCGGGGAAACTGAGTCTCCTGAGCATGCCAAGTCAGTGTCTGAGGTTCCCCTGCTGCACCCTGCCTGCCGCGCAGGAGCTTCCACAAACGATTTGTGGTGGGGACACAGAGCACAGGTAAGCCACCCCCGTTCCTGCAGGACTCACCGACGAGAGCAGTCAGGAGCCAGCCCCGAGCCAGGCCAGGGAGACACTCCCTGACAATGCCCCCCTACTTTCTGAAGGGAGCAGGGGCTGAACCACTCTCCCTCGCCACGCTGACCCGTTTTACAATTGCATCAGAAAGTAGGCAAAATTCCTCCACCCCAACCTCCCGGAGCCCTGGGCCTGCCTCCCCATCAGGCCGGAAATCGGCTCAGAGGAGAAGAGTGATGACTAGGTCACTCCAGGCCAGAACAAGGGAGCCTGCCCAGGTGGAGCGGCCGGGGAGGGAGGCAGAAGAGGGGGCAGGGAAGGGGAGGGCAGGGCCGGGAAGGAGACCAAACCATTGCGGCAGATACAGGGACAGGGCTGGTACAGGTGCAGAGGGAGAAAAGGCCGGCAGAAAGTCAAATCCCAAGCCAGACAGCACAGGCGCCTCCCCCAGGTGGTCTGCAGCCCCTGGTGAGGGACGAGCTAGGCACCTCTTGTCCACATGAGCACCTGGCCAGAGCTCACCCGGCCCAGACCCCGTCCACCCCGGCCGGGGCAGGTCACTGCTCCTCCTACTACACCTGCCTGCCCTCCAGCAGGAGGCAGGGTCTTCCCAGATCACACCACTGACCCTTTATCTCAGAAGGCACCAGCCCCTCGACCAAATCCCCTACACGCCACCTCGGGGGACTTAGGGACTGGACCCTACAGGGCTTTTAACACCCCTGGGTGGGCAAAGGGGGCTTGAGTGCTACCAGAGGACAAGCCGGGACTGTCATGCAACCGTGGGAATAATGAAGCATCTGTCCAACCCCAGAGCACGGCTGGCACAACCCCAGATGAGCCCCGGGCCCTTAGTATCCTCATGCATGACATGGATGTCACGCCCCTCTGCCACAGAGCCTGCTGGCAGATGAGGGGTGAACTGACGCCAGTGAGGATGGGGCAGTGGGTGGCCCCCTACCCAAAATGCCATGACCTTCCCGCACCAGGGCTGGGTCCAGGCCTCATGCGCTCCTGCCACCAGCAATGCTGTCTTCTGAGGCCGCCCCTCAGTTATGGGAGGCAGCAATCCACACAGGTATCCGTTTGTCCCTCAACCTGCCTGCTGTGGGTCACTCTGTTCCCCAAGCACATTGGACGGACCTTCAGGAGCCCTGTCCACCCAGCCCTGGACCAGGCCCAGGAGCACTGGGCTCGGCCCCGGGCAGGAATTACACAACCGACTCCGCCCGCTCCAGTCCACACCATCACCTCTCCGGAATGTGGAGACTCCCAGAGAGGGAGAAGGGCAGCTCCCCGTCAGGCCCGTCCACCCTCACCCCCAGGGATGACCCTGCGAACCACAGGGCGGCTCTGCCGGGAGCCTCGCCTCGCCCTGGCTCTGTAGAGCTCCCTGACAGCTGACAAATCCAGGTTCCAAGAGGTGAGGTGGCCAGTTCACAGCACAATGCAGGGCAGCAGCCGAGGTGGGATCGGACCCCAGGCAGTGACCCCAAAGTCCTCCTCACTCAGACACTGTGCACAGGCCCAGCGCTGGGCAGATTGCCCCCACCCCAGCAGGGGACCCTGGCCAGGCTGGTGTCCACAGCTGTAAAAAGCCCTGGCTCACACCCTCCCCAGGCACTACAGTCCACCCCGTGCCTGTCTCCAGCCTCGGTTACTCATCAATCAGCTGAAACTGACAAGCAGTCCCCATGTCCCACCCATGCAAACAGGCCAGATGAGAAAGGCTTCAGTGTTTGGGGGGGCTGGGCCCCTCTGAGCACTGGGATGGAGATGGGGTGCAGCATGGATGCCCCAACCCTTGGGATCCTCGGCACGCTGTTCACAGGAGGGCTCCCTGGAACACCAAATGGGCAACAGTGGACAAGGTCAACTCCCAAGGCCCTCACAGCCCTCTAGTCCTTCCAGGGAGACCAGGAGGCCGGCACAACCACGACCCCTGGCCGGGTCAGCAGGGGAGGGGAGGCCCCACCGCCCGGTGTGACGCATGGTGGTCCCTGCATCTGGGGGCTCACTGAAGCCCTGCAAGGGTCAGGCAGGCACTGCTCCATTTTCCAGATGAGGAGGCCACGAGGAGCAGTGTCCCCACCTGCTGGAGAGTGAGCAGGGGGGCCCAAGGCCCAGCCTTCCAGCCCCTCTCCCCGTCACACAGGCCCAGCCCCGCAGGTCAGTGCTCAGGACCCCAAGTGTCTGGGCGCTCTGAGCAGAGCTGACAGCACCCCACCGCTGAGAAGTCAGCAGAGGCCCACAGAAAGGAGACACGGTTCTTGGTCAAGCCTCTCTGCTGGATGCTCCATTACTGCCCATCCTCAGGCACAGCTGCAAGCCAGCCCCCTGCTCCCTGCAGCCCCCACCACAGGCCAGCACTCCCAGACACAGCCCTGAACCCAGGCGGGAGACTCACACTTGCGTGTGATCAGTGGCCGGAGTCGGGTCACTAACCTAAGGCAAGCACACTGCCCACGCACAGTTTCCTGGCTGGGGGCACAGTTTTGTCTCCCTCTGCCATTTCTATAGGGTGAACCAGGAGCTCCTAGCATTTCCCTTCTCAGTCAGACCACGGTCAGAGTCATGGGCTGGGACCAGAGTCCACCAACATGCCGACGGCTTCAGCATCCTCGCTGTGCAGCGGGCAGGCCAGACATGCCACTGCTCCCGTCTGAGCCAGCCATTCCCTCAGCCACAGCTGGGTCCAACATCCACCTCCCAGGACGGCAGAGAGGAGAAAAGAGCAGTGACCGAGCCAGCACCATGAGAAAGGACATAGGCCACACTGCAAATGACCCAACAACACCCCACCCGCCCGCCGCCAACACCAGAACTCAGGGCCTAGAGGCCACAGCCCGTAGGCCAACTGTCCTAACGAGCCACACGCGGCCACAGACCAGAGGCCACATCCACAGCCCCAGAGCGAGAAGCTGTACCCATCAACCTGTTTGGGTTTACCCCCAAACCCCAAGCTGCTGCAGAGAACTAAGCACATGTCAGGGGTTTGTTGGGTTTTTTCTCTTCAATTTCAAAAGAACACTATGAGAGTCTTAAATTATTTTAAATGACCCAGTGCTTCCAATGGAATCCATCCTAAAGAATTAATTCTAATTACAAAGAATGCAGATGGTGTTACACGGCCAAACTGGAAAAAACCACTTGTCCAACAATAGCAGGAGCTCCACCCTGTCATCATTCAAATGGTGTTTAGTAAGAGTTTCTTTCTTCAACAATACGAGAAAACACTTACACACCAGTGGAAAGAACTGGACACAAAATTACATGGATAATTGCTGTTTAAAAATACCTATGCATCGAAATAAATTCAGGAAGGAGACACAGGGAAACAGTGACAGTGGTGTTACTCATGTGAAGGAACAAGTTATTTTTTATTCACACCATTTCTTGTTAATTTTCAAATAATCTACTTCTAGAATAGGGAGAAATCTTTCATAAAAAAGAGGAAGAGATCAAATGATTGCACCTTCAAATTGCAAAAAAAAAAAAAAAAAACCTTCACGTTGATGTCACTGAAGTTTTCAGTCCAAGGGAGACAGAAGGAGGCCGGGAGGACAGCCCGGACAGGACAGGCGGGCCCCATCAGCGACCCTCTGCCCGGTTCTCCCAGCTGGTCTGGGGGCCTTTCCTGAGACCCAGGCCCAGCGCCGAGCCTGCCCATTCCTGCAGAGCTTAACAGGCTGCGAGGCTGCCTCCTGGAAACCCCAGATGAGCCTCCCCTGCACACCAGCCCCCGGCCCTACACGCAGCTCCTCAGAGCAGGCTCTGCAAGCCACCAGGAGCCAGGGAGCCAGACACCTGGTCACCCTGGGTCAGAGCAGGTGTCCTGCAGCGGGGAAGAATGAGAGCGAGGTGGACCCTTGGGGGGTGGGGTGGGCAGGGGCGCAGGACACCCCGGGAAGGCCCTGGCTCCCTGGCAGGACCATCCTCCCCAGGAGCCTCAGGCAACTCGTGATGCCACTGGGCGCCTCTGAGCCACAGCCTCTTGGAGACAAGCGTGTAATTAAATTAATCCCAGGGTTTTCAGTAATGAGTGCAGCCGCGAGGGAGGGAAGCGTCAGTTCCTGGCTCAGCTGCTTGTGGGGAAAATGAGGGAGGTGACTACGGAAGGGACCCGGGGCTGGGCTGGCCAAGGTGTCCCCTCGGACCTTCCCACTGGACCAGTTCTTGGGGGTTCACGATCCCGCTTCCACGGGGGTCTGGGGCAGCTCCCTGCAACATTCCCCCTTCCAGGAGCCAGAACACCTGCCCTTGCTATGCCCCTCGCCTCAGATCCTTTGTTCCCCAGGGAGTGTGGAGGACCTGGGCAGCCCACGGGTGGGCGGGAGTCGTGGAGCCTGCAGGGTCTGCAAGCCCCTCCCCACTGGCGCTGTTGGGCTCCTGGCACAGACCACCAGACTACCCTGCCTTCTCGCAAGCTGTGAGGCGACACCCAGCTCGCATCTCCCCTCCTGGCCTGGTTTCCTTCCTGGCTAAGCAATGTTGCACCACCTCCCCTTCAGTCCAAACGAAGAGTTTGGGGACCAGAGGCCACCTCCAAACACCCCTGGAATCCCGTCCTCCCCCTGCTCAGT